TGGTGACAGTAGACAATGCTTCTGCCAATGATTCAGCCTTGAGTTTTTTCAAGCGGAGGGTAAATGGGTGGAAGGGCACTGTTTTGGACGATGAATTTCTCCATCAACGTTGTGCTGCTCACATCGTCAACCTCATTGTAACTGAAGGACTAAAAGAAATGCATAGCTCAATAGCAGCAATTCGAAATGCTGTTAAGTATGTCAAATCTTCTCCTGCGAGGTTACAAAAGTTCAAAGTTTGTGTGGAGCACGAGAAAGTTGAATATAAGGGGATGTTGGTCTTAGATGTCCCAACTAGGTGGAATTCAACATACATGATGTTAGATGTTGCTCTTAAGTTCCAAAAGGCCTTTGATATGTTTGAAGAGGAGGATGAAAAGTACTTAGGATACTTTTTGGAAGAAAAAAGTGGGACCACCAATGAAGGAAGATTGGGCAAATGCTAAGATTTTTGTTGAATTTCTTAAGACTTTTTATGAAGTCACTTTGAAATTTAGTGCATCAGAACATGTCACTTTCAACACTTTTTTTCATGAGATTTGTACCATTCAAAGACGGTTGAGTGAGTTATGTGCAAGTGGTGATTGCTTGTTGTCAACTATGGCTTTTGGGATGAGAAGGAAGTTTGAAAAATATTGGGGCAATGGGGAAAATATTAACTGTATGTTGTTTATTGCTGTTGTACTTGATCCTCGATATAAGAAGACATATCTTTGGTACTGTTTTAGCATGATTTATGATGTTTCCATGGCCTCTAAATTGTGCAAGAAAGTGGATGAAACACTGGCCAAAATGATGTCCTTTTATCGTGACGGGGTAGATAATGGAAAAAAAACAAGAAATGGCTGCAAATACTCCAAATCAACCACCTGTCCAACCGGTCAATGAGTTGCTAAGTCAATTCTTGAAGCAACGAGGGGATAATAGGGAAAAAAATGACCTTGAGAGGTATCTAGCTGAAGAGAATGTGTACCCTTTAACCCCTGATTTTGATATTTTGGAGTGGTGGAAAGATAATAGCAAGAAGTTCAAGGTTTTGGCTCAAATTGCCCGTGATGTACTAGCTGTCCAAGTCTCCACAGTAGCTTCCGAGTCAGCTTTCAGTACTAGTGGTCACATTCTGGATCCATTTAGGAGTTCTTTGAATCCTAAGATGGTGGAGGCTCTTGTTTGTACTCAAAATTGGTTGAAATCTACACATGATTGTATACAAGTAAGAGACTATTTGGATGACTTGGAGACTTATGAAAACCTAGGTAAGACAATAATTTGTATGTATCTTAATCTATTTTATTATATGAATTCTAAACTATCTAAATTATTACTTAAGCTATTTTCATTTCTCTTGTAGATAACTCAACTTCATGTCCTACTACAACCATTAAGGAGCCTATGAGTGTGGATTGATAAAGATGGTTGATGTTGCAATGCTTGCTTTGGATAGATTTGAATTAAGTGTCCAGCCTCTATGTTTGCTTTACTTAAGCTATTTGTTTTATATGTTTAAGACTAATTTATAATTGTAGACTAAGTTATGTTTGTTTTGTATTTGATGTTGGATGGACTATTTTGCTTTATGTTTGATGTTAGATGGACTGATAAAGATGGTTGCTATTTCGATTTAATGATGAAGTTTGAATATTATATTGAACTTTAAGTCTTTAATTTTTTGAATGTTGAAACTGACCACCCAACCCACCCCGCACCGCCCCAACTCAACCCGAACATCGTTGGATTGTGAAATTTTTCTAATATCATTAGGGCTAAATATGTGCAACCCACACCCTTTAGAGCAGGGGAAAAAAAATTCTACCTCGCGCCATCCCAACCCATGAACACCCCTAGTCGCCTCCCTCCTCAGTCTCTCGCCTCGCCCTAAATCCTCTAATCACTCCTTCTCATTCTCCGTTCCACTTCACCCTAAATCCCTAATCCTCACACTCGTGGTTCATCATTCTCCGTTCCTCTTGTCAAAAAACTCCTTGTCGTTTGGTTTTCTTTTTTCCTCAGCCATGGCGGGGGAGGGGTTTCCGCTTCAAACCGCGAACAACTCCAGTTGCAATTCGAAGAAGGCGAAGGAGAATAAGAAGAAGAAGAAGCGTGGTGGGACCAAGAAGAAGATGACTGCAGAACAGAGTCTGGCTTTGAAGTGTGTTAGAGAGTGGGTTTTCTTGGATCAATCTTCTTCTTCTTTGACCGCTTCTTCATGCGTTGTTGACGATTTTGGGGCTCAGAAGACTTTTGGGAGAGGTGGGGAGAAGTTGGTCTTTGAATTGCACTCATTCCAAATTCAGTGATGGGTTTCTCTCTCCTTCCAAGCTTGTTGAGAGAGCTCACGGAAATGGGGTGAGTTTTTTTTTTTGGGGCATTTTTGGAGCAAAAGCTGAAATGGGTTATGCTTTTTCTTGGTATGTTCGCTTTTGGATTTTTTTTTGTTATAATAATATTGTTTTTTATGGTGTATTTAATGTTGTGATTTTGTAATGAACAAAGTCCTTGGTGCTGACTTCATCAAACTTTCTGTTCCTGAAGATGAATTTTCTAAATTTCTTGTTGTAATCCCCATAAAGAGATAAAAATAACAATAATAAATTGGTTGCATCTAAGTTCTCTTAATATTCGTGAGTTTGCTAGTATTATTCGAATGGTTTTCAAATTTATGAAAACTATTATAACAATAGAACGAATTGGTGGAAGAAAACAAAGGAACTAACTTTCAGGGTTATATTAGAATTTAATGTATGAAATTTTTTCCATTGCACTCGTAAACAAACCATGGACATGGCTTTCATATGTTTGTAGAATTGTCTTTATGTAAGTTTCATACTAGTAGTAAAGTTGCCTTGCATAAATTTCTTGGCTTGAAATTCATGAAATCAAAATGAAGTTGTTTTAATATGGGTTTCTTCTTATTATGTAAGATGCAGTTAAGAATACTTTTTCTTACCCGAGTTCAATATACTGCTCTTGTTCTTTTCCCTTGCGTCTTTCTTGTAAAAGATAAAAGTTTATATTCACAAATACAATAGTTTCGACACCAACGTATCCTTAGAGCTTATTTTTTTCTTAAAGTTTTGCTCTGAGGCTTTATATTGTTCTAGGAAGTTTTTTCTATGTACCGTCTAAAATTATAGTTTTTGTTTTGGCAACATTTACTTAGTATATCTGCTCATAACGGGTGAAAGTTCTTGCTCTGACAGATCATGATACGATGTCTGGCGTCACTGAGGCACTAGATGCAGCACGCAGATTTGGGATGAAGATAATCCCAGGTGTTGAAATTAGTACAATTTTCTCCCCAAGGTAACACATGAACTTCTGACTTTCTAAAGACTACAGGTTTAAGTCTTTTTAAACTTGGTTTTGAGAACTCTAAGGGGCTTGTTGAGCTGTTAGGTCTGTGATTTGCTTCAGATTTAGGTCATGTACTCGTGAATAACCACGAATTAATCGTTACAGATAGTGTTGAAAGCTGGATGTCTCATTTTGGTTAGGACATGGTTTCTTTGTAGGTGTCATATATATAGCAGTTTAGTGGTCTTCCTTTAGAGCTTTACTAGTGGTCTTGATTAGGAAGTGGTTGATATTGTTGTTCTTTTCTCTATAAAGGAGCGTGTCCTGTTTCTTGACTGTATTTTACTTTTTTCTTTAACAAATCATAAAACGTAATTATGCTTTTGGACTGTTAAAAGATGTATGAAGTCATAGGTTAAAACTGGTTTTCACCAACCCGAGTAACTCGAGTAACCCGACCCTACCCGAGATCACCCTACAAGTTGCGGGTTTGTGGGCTTAAGAGAGTGTTGCGGCCTAAAGTTTTCTCAATCCGCACTGAGCGGGTTGGCTCAATTTTTCGTCCCAACCCGACCCTACCCGGCCGAATTACACCCCTAATTATAAGAGAAGATAGGAAGCATCTCAAGACTCTAAGTGGATAAATATGGGCCATATCAGGTTGCAAATAGCTGGCATTTTTTATTTAATTTAGGATTTTGGGTATTCATCAACTCTTTTGAGTCATTTTGTTGTGAATTAGAAAGGATTAATTTTTTCATCTCTCATTATTAATATGTGATTATTGAATATGTTTATGATTTTATGCCAAAAAGTTTATTGTGGCACCTTCTTAATTTATTTAAATACGATGGCTTGTGAATTCAGTTCCAAAAAGAAATTGTCTTAATGCATAAAAAGCACGTGCTTTACACGCGCCTCCTTTTCCTAGATTTTAATAAAGACCTTTTAAAATCGGTCATTTTCCTACATTGCCTTTTTCTACTTTTTTCTGATTTGCTTTATTGTGAATAAAGAGTAATCAAGAATTTTACGCTATGTTTGGAGTTATTTTTGTTTTTATTTTTCATATTTTTTTGGGAAAAAAAAGAAAACAGAAGAGAAATGACGTTTAGCACAAATAAAGATAAAAACAGATTTGAAAATGATTTTTTAGTTTAGTGTAAAATGAGAGAAAAATGAAAAATAATTAAAAGTCGTTTTTTAATTTTTTTTTTTCCGTTTTCTCCTCTCTCAAGTAGAGAGAGAGAGACATTAATAGATTTTTTTATACTAAAAATAATATAAAACTACCAAAAGCATTTTCAAAAATAATTTTTGTCTGGGATTAAAAACGTTTTCATTTCTATTTCATACAAAAAATAAAATTATTTTTAAACGAGTTTCAAACACACCCTTAATTTTTTATGTAAATTAAAAACACGTGACCGTTCCCTAAAAAAACACCACGTGACTATTACGTGAGAAAAACCATTCAAAATTGAAGGTCCATCAATTAATATAGGAGGAATTATTCGCACCTTTTTAGATAGTTTGAAGGTTTTTTTTTTCAAAAAAAAAAAACAAAAAAAGGGGGGACCAAGTCCTTATTAATTTTTATAATTTGGAACCAAATGAGTACCTTAGAGGTTGTTTGGTTGAGAGATTTGTACTCTAATTCGAATCATGATTCGTAGTTCGTTACAGTATTTTTTTTCATAAAAAATACACGTAAATTAAAAATAATTCTAATATCATAGTTTTAATTCATAAACCAAACGTCTCCTTATCCTTATTTAACGAAGAAAACGAGCAAATTCTATATTTATTTATTTATTTATTTTTTGGTTGATAATTTTGTCCTAGGTGGCTTATATAAGTTGACCCATATTTCCTCACCCTTTGCTCCTCGTTTTCCTTGTGTTCTGCTTCTAAACCCATCACAATTCTTAACACCAAAAATCCTGAACACCGTTCAAGCAAAAAAAAAAAAAAAAAAAAGAAAGTTCCTGAACACCACCAGCAAAATCATTCTCAAACCCAACATCAAGCCCCATCAGAATTTTCAAACTCTTCACCACCAAATCCAAACCTAAAACAATGAAAAGTACCCTGTCCTTGTCGGCGAGCTCGGCGCCGTCAAACTCCTGCATCAATTTGGTACCGCCAAACCAATTCGAACTCTTAACTCTCGCAGCCTTTGATGAGACCAATTTGGACGAAATGAAAATCACGTTTCCTTTTGCAATTTCGTGCTTATGCAGAGGACAACCCGATCCGCTTCTGTGGGCATGTTTTGATGGCCGGATAAGAGCTATCCGGTCCAGTCGTTAAAAAAATTGGACCAAACATGGGATTAAGATCTCTAATCCCAGTCCGGTCCTTTATTCTTCCTAGTACCATTTTCAACGTGTTAATACTTGTTAATCCGTACATACCCACACCCAAAAATAAATAAAAGACAGTTTGTTACAATGGAGGGAACGGGCTTGTTTCAGTCGGCATTTGCTTCCAGAATAATAAGGTGAGTCCCTCCTTTCTTTCTTTCTTTCTTTCTGTTTTGTTTACTGCAAGTTCTCTTGTCGTCATAGTAAATGTGGAGTCGAACAATTTCTTTATCGAGATTTTGAGATGATCTACTGGTTTCTTTATAATGTATGCATAAGGATTTCTTCGGATTTAAATTGTAAATTTCTTTGATCTGGATTTTGAGATGATTTTATTTCTTGCTTCTTTTTCTTGCAGAAGAGCTGAGCAGACGGATTCCGAGTTAGCGAGAAGTAATTTTTAGTGTATTTGGGAGGTGAGTGCGTTCTTTCATGGTTTTCTTGTTTCTAGTATCTGTTGTTTCCTTAGAAAACGTAGGAAAATTCAAACATAAAGTAAAGAAATGAGGATTTGCAACTTCTCTTAGTTCACAGTAAAGTGGAGTTGAGCAATTTTTTTGAGATTATTTACTGGTTTCTTTATAATGTACGAGGGATGATTGATTTGCTTGGCATTAGCCGTATTGGAACTTATTTTGAACTTGTAGTTTATAGTAAAATGTATATGAACAAATTTTTTTTTTTATCTAGATTTTGAGATAACTTACTGGTTTCTACATTTTTCGTCTTTAAAATTGATTTTTCGTTAATTTGGATTTTTTTTAACGGCTTTAATCTGGATTTTGAGATTATATATATTCTTTTTTTTTTTTTCATTCTTGCGGAAGATCTGAGCAAACTGATTCAGAGTTAACGAGAAGGAATTGGAAGGTGAGTACGCTATGGTTTACTTTCGTGTGCTCGGTTTATATTTTATTTTATTTTAATCGGTAGTGTGCTCTGTTTGGCTGATGAGAAAGAAGAGTCATGAGGAAAAGAATTGTTAAGTGTTAGACTGAGTATATTAATTAAAAAATTATCTTGTATAAGGAGAAAACTATGCACATATCAATATTTTATAATAACCGTAATCTATTCAATATATACATTGCTATATTACTTGAGTTTTACTCAACTGGACAGAATTTGATTTTCTTTTTTTTTTTTCTGGGCTTTTAGCTCTGTTTGTATTTCATCTTCTCTGTATTTTTCTTCTTTTCTAGAGACAAAATGGAAAAAAATTAAAGAATGACATTTTCGAAAGTGAAAATCTTGTCACCCTCCCGTTTTCATAACCGTAATATATTCAATATATATGCATGGCTACATTACTTGGATTTTGCTCAACTGGACAGAGTTTGATTTTTTTTTTCCTGGACTTGTAGCTCTGTTTGTATTTCATCTTCTCTGTATTTCTCTTCTTTTATAAAATTGAAAAAAATTAAAGATGGGATTTTCAGAAGTGAAAATCTTGTCAACCTCTGTCCCTTTTCAGCTTGTATTTTCTCAATGACTTGGAAAGATAATCAGATATATAGAAAGTACATCATTTGTATATATATATATATATATGAGGACATTCATATTCATAATACATATAAATTAAAATTTTAAATGTAATATATCACTCTCTAATTTAAACTCAAATAATGCAATATCACTGAAATTAGAGTTACAAGACAGACATTAATATATGTATAATCTCAGTTGCAAATCCTTTGTTGATTTGTTCTTGAGTTTGTTAGTAATTTTTTGATTCTAGATGGAGGATTTAAAATTTGCTGATCAGCTTGTGAAGGAAAATAAACTCTATGATGCTGTTCAAATATTCAAAAATGTTTGCCAAGCTATAAGGGCAAGCGTGGATGAGAATTTTTGGAAGCTAAGCATGGTTAGTTGTTGAAAACTTGTGCTACAAATATGCAGTTACAAGTAAAAAAGATGCATATTTCAGAGAAGAAAGCATTAAAGAAGCTACTTTTAGTAGAAATACAGACATTCAAAAGTCAATCATGGTTGATTTCTCGAATATTGAGAATTTGCTCCATCTTTCTAGTACCATTACAAACTTGGACGCATACTGCTAAGAAATAATAGATTGTTACAACAAAGCTGGGGATGTCAAAGGCAAAGAAGAAACTTATTATTCTTTAGGAACGTTAAGGTTGAAGAAGAACAATTTAGAAGGGGCTAAATATGCTTTTTTAGTATCTGTTGAAATCAACAGAGGCATCAATGTTGAAAAGGCAATTGAGGCAATGTGCAAATTGGTGCTTGTTTCTGCTAGCTTGGGCAATAAAATGTGAGAAAATTCTAAAATTATTAAACAAGCAAAGGAAGACAAGCTATATTATATGCAAGTTGAAAACTTTACTACACACCAAATTGCCATTGAAGCGATTAAATTGCAGTATGACTTGGCATTTACATTCTATAATGAAATAAAGGAATAGCAGAAAGCAATGGTAATCATATGCTTGACAAGTTTTACACCTTGTTCAAATTTTTAGGAGTACGTTTTTGCTATGTTAGAAAAATGAGGAAATTGAAGGTCAAAGGATTAACACAATTGGAGCTGCTTGCTGGAAGAGGTGATAAAGAGTATATGATTAAAAGATTCACAAATGTAACAATTTTTCATGAATCAAATTGAACTCAAATTCAAGGCAATGTTTTTACAATAATGGATCATCCTCGTTTTGCAAAAAATGTTTGGGAAAAAGCCACTCTCCATGCTACACTAAAAGAAAGGTTGGAGATCTTGACTGAGAGAGTCAAGTTGTGGAAGGAGAATCAGCTAACTTTTTGCTACGTATCACATAATGTATCATATCTGTATTGTCGGTAATATGCTTAATATGATTTTGCAAAGTCTATATAATCATTCCAACACTTTTCTCCCTTTTTCTGACCCTCTTCTTATATCTAATGTTTATTTGCTATTTTTTCAGTCATATATTGATGTTGTGTCCACAGGGATCAGTCAAAGAAAAATTAACAAATAAACATTAGCTATAAGAAGAGGGTCAGAGAAAGGGAGGAAGGAAAGGTGTTGGAATGATTATATAGACTTGACAAAATCATAAACAAAATGTTAAGCATGTTATCGACAATACGGATATGATACATTAAAGGATATGTGATCTGTAGCACAAAGTTACATGTTTCTCTTTCCACAACTTGACTCATTCATTCAAGATCTCCGACCTTTGTTTTGGTGTAGCATGGAGTGTGGCTTTTTCCCAAAAGCTTTTTGCAAAACGAGGATGATCCATTGCGGTAAAAGCATTGTCTTGAATTTGAGTTCAAATTGATTTATGAAAAATTCCTACATCTGTGAATCTTTTAACCATATACTCTTTGTCACATTCTCCAGCAAGCATCTCAAATTGTGTGAATCCTTTGACCATTTCGCGGTAGCCAATTTCCTCATGTCTCTGGCATAGCAAAAACTTACCTCTAGAAATTTGAGCAAAGGCGTAAAACTTGTCAAGCGTATGATTGGCATTGCTTTCCGCTATTTTCTTGATTTCATTGTAGAATTTAAAGGCCAAGTCATACTGCAATTTAATCGCTTCAATTGGGTACGTGGCAGAGTTTTCAACTTGTATGTTGTTTAGCTTGTCCTCCTTTGTTTGTTTAATAACTTCAGAATTTTCTCACATTTTATTGCCCAAGCTAGCAGAAATAAGTACTGATTTGCACATTGCCTCAATTGCCTTTTCAACATTGATGCCTCTGTTGATTTCAACAGATGCTAGAAAATCATCTTTGGCCCCTTCTAAATTGTTCCTTTTCAACATTAACGTTCCTAAAGAATAATAAGCTTCTTCCTTGCCTTTGTCTCCCAACTTTGTTATAACAATCTATTATTTTTAAGCAGTATGCGTCCAAGTTTGTAATGGTACTAGGAAGATGGAGCAAATTCTCAATATTTGAGAAATCAGCCCTGATTGATTTTTGGATGTTTGTATTTCTACTAGAAGTAGCTTCTTTACTGCTTTCTTCTTTAGAATATGCCTCTTTTTTACTTGTAACTGCATGTTTGTAGTGCAAGTTTTCAACAACTAATCATGCTTAGCTTCCAAAAATTCTCATCCACGCTTGCCCTCATAGTTTGACAAACGTTTTTGAGTATTTGAACAGAATTAGAGAGTTTATTTTCCTTCACAAGCTGATCAGCAAGCTTTAAATCCTTCATCTAGAACCAAAAAATTACTAACAAATTCAAGAACACACCAACAAAGAATTTGCAATCAGGATTGTACATATATTAATATATATGTCTTGTAACTCCAATTTCAGTGATAGTTTATTATTTGAGTGATATATTACATTTTAATTCATATGTATTATGAGTATGAATATCCTTGTGCATATATATAGATATAAATGATGTACTTTCTATATATCTGATTATCTTTTAAAGTCACTGAGAAAATACAAACTGAAAAGGGGTAGAGGTTGACAAGATTTTCACTTCTGAAAATCCCATCTTTAATTTTTTTCATTTTCGTTTAATTTTTTCCCCTAGACATTTATATGAAATTTTTAAAAACATTGTAATCGTATTACAAGGTTTAACTTTTAAATATCTCGTATTTTAAATTTAAATTGTTAAATTAATCCATAGTCGATGTATTACTATAAGTTCACAATTTGTGAATTGTAGATCTTGAAAAGTGAACTAAACTCTAGAATATTGAGTCATTTGGATTAACAAATAATTGTTCTATTATTTTAGGGTAAAACTTTGATTTTATTACGCTCCTATTGAAAAAGTTTTATGGCTCCGCCACCACGAGAGACCACGTACATGTGAACCTGAAAACATGAGACTAAACCACATGTTGATGCATGCTCAACTACTAACGAGCAAATTTATTGGCAATGAGCCTTCATAGTTGAAAATTTAGAATCTTTGCAGAATTATGTCACATTCAACTAGAAGCACTCAATTCTCAAATACATCCACTAAAGTATATGGGAAAAAAAATTCCAATAAGTGGCATAAAATGATGTATTTTCATTATTTTGTGAAACAAAAATCTAATGTAGGTAACAAGTTTCATTGCCTAGGCTTCCATTAAAGTCATAACCTCCTGCTCAAAATCATGAAAGGAATTTAAATTTAATTTTAGATTATTATCACTGGTGCCTCTAAGCATTAAGTTCATTCTCAATTGGCCTCCTGAACTTCAACATCTTTCACTTTGCCCTTTAAATTTTGAATTTTTTCCACTTAACCTCTTTTTTTTGTAATTTCTGTTAAAATTAAACGAAAAAAGGAAATTAAGTGTGGCCATGTGGTTCTCATATGTTTGTTTTTAACAGAAATTCATGCAAAAAGACTACATGGCTTCATTACTCTTTTTTTGCGCATCTAATTTTAACATAAATTATAATAGCAGGGGTAAAATAGGAAAAATTCAAAGCTTATAGAGCAAAGTGAGTGTTTAAAATTTTACGGGTAAACTGATAATGATCTTAAAGTTGAGCACTAATGATAATAATCTTTTAATTTTTATGAAATCAAGTAGAAGACAAAATTCGAACTTTGTAACAAATAAAATACTTGAATGAACTTTAAAAGAATTTGATAAAAGCCTAATAATTTGCCCATCGAATATGTTGTTTGTTAAGTTTTGACTTCTGAGGGTATATATATTTATTTAATACATACTTTAGTAGCCAAAACTACCTTTTTTAAAATAAAATAAAATAAAAAAACGTTTTCGAAAGCATTATTGGCATTTTAAAAGATTCCAGTAGTCAAGGCCCGGGGTGTTTCTGCAAGTAAAAGTGGTCAAGGGTTAATATTAGTAAAAGTGAGGGGGTTTGAATTAGTTTTTCCTTAAATAAAGCTTTGTGAAACAACATGTAATTAGGAGTGCCTTTTACTTAAACAAATAAACGATTTTTCTTAATAATTATCTTAAAAAAAGATTTTTCTTGATAAATAATAATTAAAGCTGATTTTTGTTTAATAAATTAAGCTTTATAAATTAAATCAATCGAATCCAATAGCAAACTCCTATAGTCCTACTCGAACTTGTACTGAGTAATTCTAATCTAATTAGAAGACAATAGTCTCTATATGTTTGGTAGGATGGATAGAAAAAGAGGAAGAAAGGAGAAGTAAAATACCTAGGTGAAGGAAGTAAAATAGTTTTTTCTCATATTGTTTAGTAAAAAAGAAAGAAAAGTGAAAAGAAAATGTCAAATATAAAACATTTTATAGTAATATCTCAGTACAAATAAAAATATGATGAATGATGAAGATTAAAATAATTATTTAACACCTTATATGTTTGTCAAACTTTTTCCCTCTTCTTTTCTTCCCGAAGTTGGAAGGATTAAAAATTAGTAGATCCTATGAATTTTCATTTTCCTTCCTCATCTTCACTCTACCAAACAACTTAAAATTTCATTTTCCTCTCTAAAATCCTTTCTCCATTTTTGTTCCTCTCTCTATTCCACCCTACCAAACACACTGGTCTCTCTCTTCGAACGCCAACTCGCACGCTCTCTTCCATCGTTGAATATGGTATGTAAACTTGCACAGATCTTTTTTTTTTAAAAAAATAATTGTACTCCTTTCTTTAGTACGACGTCTTAATTATACCTTTTCGATGCATGTTGGTTTGTTGAATCAATAAAACGTTAGGGTAATTAACAATACATGCTAAATATAACAATACATGTTTGTTTGTTGGCTCGCGTCATTTTTTTTTCCCCTTGATCACAGGAAAGGCAAGATTGATGTTCAGTATCATCAGCAACTAAAAACTGAGAATCAGTCTGGTTTGGATCAGAATATAGAATTTTCGCATGAAGATCAAATTGGGAAAGGATTGGGAGGTGCTCTAAAGTTGCTTAAAGAGCGAGGAATGATTGAAAAAAACTGCTGATCGCTGGACTGAAAGAATTTACAATGTTGGCAAGAAGAAGAGAAAAGTTGATGAACATTCTGAAACAAGTACATCCTATTTGAAATCGGCCCAATTGAAGGACGCTTTCCTACATATATACTACGAGAACAAGGAGATCCGCATTGATAAATTTGATGAATTTGGTCGTCAGATGACTCCTAGAGAAGGTTACAAAGAATTCTGCTATAAGTTCCATGGAATCTGACCCAGCAAAAAGTGAGAAGAAAAGCGTTTGAAGCAAAATCAGCAGGAGTTGAAGATGAAGCAAACTCATCTACTGTGGAGCTGATAGAAAAATTACTAGCTGGGATTTATTCTGTTACTTATGTAAATAACTTGGATATCATTTGTAGGGTTGCAATGAACAATTGAACTGCAAGGGCTTGATCCCTTTCCAGGGTATGTAGGCAGCTCATCACTTTATAAATGAGTCCAGCCCCTTGTTATTGTAAAAACCATTTTTGTATGATGAATAAAGAAACATGAAAACAAAAGAGTTGAATAAGCTTCTATTCATTTGAATTTGAAGGGGATAAAAGAAGGGAAAAAAAAGAGACAAGATGTTGGCAAACAAATTATTGAGGATGCACAAACAAATTATCTCTGCAATATATACTTATACTAATCATTCAATAAAATTGCTTATTCAACATTAATTTATACTCTTCCGTGAAAAATTATTGAGGATGTTGTATGAGTGCTTTTTACTGTAGCAAAAAAGTTAAATGTGACTATTTCTGAGAGCTTTTTACTGTAGTAAAATTCGAATCAGCGAAAAGAACGGGACCTAGATCTACAAGATTGCTTTTCGACACTTGCAATGGCCTTCTCATTAGATTGAAGAAAATTCCTAAAGAACTCATAAGATAAAATACTACATATAGATACCAAATCAGAGAGTATTGTTTTCGTTATTAGCTTTGATTGCCCAAGAAAAAAGTTTTTTTTTTTTTTTTCTCAAACAAAAAAAAAAAGAAAGAAAGAAAAACTAAACCAAACATGAAGAGGAACCTAGGTTTACATGAAATAAAACAAGGATTCTTTTATTCAGCCAAAAAAAAAAATCTTTCACTGAAGTAATGTGATTCCAATATTCAAAAGAATAACATTCTGATCGTCACTAAAATATGCACAAATTACCAAACAAAAAAGAAACCATAATTTCCATCATCCTTGTGCAATTTAAGTCAACCGTTCACCTTTAGCTTAAATCTAAAAGGTAACTAAGAAATACATTACCAAATTGACTTCATTGTCCACAAGGAGAATTGCTAATGGCCACATTTCAGATTAAAAGATATATTAGCAAAGGGCCAACAAAACTTATTAATGTCAAACAAGCTGCACAACAGCAGCCACTCTTAAGGCCCCATTTTGAAGAAGATCAGGAAGCTCATCAAACAAAAGTGCTGTTCTCCAGCCCCATCCCTTGGGAGCTTTAGGCAAAAGAGTGCCTGCTTGCTTGAAACTTCCAAACACCATAACTTCTCTCTTCGACGGGCAAATCAACTACATGACCAACAAAAAACAGAACAAGGAATGAACAAATTTATCTGGTGCAAGTTTTGTGGCATGTGCAGTGATTCAAAATTGGAGATTGTTTACTTGAAATACTACCTGATATCGAGCGGTAACCTTTTCGCGAGAGTCCACGTACATGTGAACCTGAAAACAGGATATTAAACCACATGTTGGTGAATGCTGAAGTACTAATCAGCAAATTTATTAGCATGAGAGTTTGCAACCTAAATGGCACACAAATTCCAACCCATTTGATAAAGAGTGAGGGAATTTCTAAAAGTTTTAGGCTTTAAGAACTAAGAATGGCTGACCTTTCTAAGGGAATCTGTAATTTCTGCCTTTCGTCGGTGAAGAAATAATCCTGAAATACAAAACAATTGATTTAGAATAGGGGAGAAAAAACAGAATAGTATGCTTCCGAGATAGATTGTTTTCTGGCTGAGAACATTACCCAATGTCCGGCGTCCTTGAGGATCTTCATCATTGAAAGCCTGAACACTAACCTATAAATTGAAAAAGATAAATCCTATCTATATCAGAAAACAGAAAGTGGAATAGTAAAGGCCACATTATAGACAAATAAAGGAAGAGAGAGAGACTGATAGCGACTGATACCTTCCAGAAAGAACCAGCATAAAAAACTTCAGGAGAGTGTTTGACTTGGCCGTCACTGAGCCTATGAACATCCTCAAATTGAACTCTGTGGAGTAGGCAAAGGATTTAGGTGCCATGCTTTCAAGCTTAGCAGTGAAATGAAATTAAAAAAGAACAGAACAACGTATAAATGAATGGTAACCAGGTGATAGATATGGGAAATGCATAACGATGACCAAATGCATTAGATTGGCAACGAAATTGTGCATGACACAAGGATTCAAGTAGAATAGAGCTGCCACTATTTGTCTTATACCCCAATCACTGCAAAAAGTAAGACTAAGTTCTTTCCTATCCTTAGAACTTCAAAAACTTTACCGAGTGTCCTACGTGCAGAACTTGTCAACTAAAACATTTGTGACAGTGGCTAAAAACATCCTAAAATGAACTAGGAAAAAAAAAAGTTTCATCACCAATACAACCAGCAAATATTGTGTCAAAAGGTACAAAAATAACTAAAAACAATAACTCAACATACCCAAAGCGAAAAGGAGGGAAGTGACTTAAAGGTGTTTTCATATCCAACGATATTGAAGAACTATTTGTATTCCCCCACTCAACTCCAATTGCATGTTGTGATGAATGTATCACCGGCACAGGAATACCATTTGTACTTGGTGCGCCTGAAACAGAAGCCCCTGACATTCTGTTTTGCAGATCCATCTCATACCCTCTCTCAGTTTGCTCTCCGTTAATGTTAGCCGAGCTACTCCCTCCTTGGCTTAACCCAACCAAAGCTGTCAACCCACCACCAGACATGTCTCCATTGGGGTCAATTCTGGGCTCTGAATCATCATTCGCAAGAGACTGTTGGCAGTTTCTGTTTCCCATTCCAAAGGGCACACGAGAGAAGACAAAACGTGTTGGAGGCCATGCAGCTGCTGGCACAAAAGTAGTTCCACGTCCAATACCTGCAAGCCCATCAATAGGCCCCCTTACCTGTACTCGTATGGGCCTGAAGAGGCCATTCCCTTCACCTGGAGCAGATTCCGCAACATATACATTTCCCAAGTTGCTTGGAGTATTGTTCTGATCTGGCTCTTGCATGTAATATCCGGAGGTAGCAACCCCTTGAGTGAATCCATATGGTTGTCTGCAGACGCATGCCATACTCACAAAACAGCAACTTTTGCATGTATCAGCACCAATTTCTTGCACCCTCTGACTCAAAAGCATCTATATGATAGCCATGCCACAAAACAGAAAAAAAGATCGTCAATGGCACAAACAGAGACGACCATTAAAAAAAAAATAGTAACTAGAATCAGAAAAAATGTTCAAGCGTGAAAAGTCTAGCAGTTTTAGTTGTCGACTATGTAGAGAACTTATGCAGCCACTCTGCGATGTACTCAATATATAATATTTCACTAGATAATATAACCAGTTTAATATTACATACAGATTGAAGATTTTGATAATCGGCAAAAATGGCTACTGATTTGACTAGAGAACTCAATGAAATCTTATTTCTGTGTTACGTATTATGGAAATTTTGCACGCCATATTGCCTTCTAATTCGCATATTCCGAATGGCAGTAGAGACACAAAATTGGAAGGCAAGCGTTTCAGTAACAGACCTGCAGCCAAAGGCCATCATTTACAGCTTTGCATGGGAATCCCAGTTCCTCGAGCTGCTTTCTCACATTCAAAAGTGCCTCAAAAGACATGTTGCAATACAAAAGAGATCCCCCTTCAAATATGTTAACAAATGCATCATATTCCTCCCCATGAACCCCAACGTTTCCTTTAGCATGGCCTTTGAGCTGTCTTCTGCCTACAGTCCTGCCACCCCATGAAAGAGGAGGCATGCCACATTTTCCCCAATCGCTTGCAATTAGCTCGTTACTGGAAGAGTTGATTGAAGAGCAACTCCTTGAGTAGTCCTCCCTGGCAAGCCAACCAGCGTTATTCAAATGGAAGCATGATTCCTCATCAGATGGACCTTCCGTAGCCTCTCCAGTGGAACCCAATCCACTCGTTCCTAGACCAACTTGCATTTCAGAATAAGAACAAGAGGTTTGTACTGCATTTCTAGCTGAAAATGAGTTATGTGATGAAGACCCTCCGGTACTGCAGGGGTATCCTGGCTCCAACTTTGACTGAGGATATGCAACTTGCTGCACCTGTTTTCTAGAATTAGAAACCCCCGTTTGGTAGTCAACCACACAATCTGCAAGCTCAACTAGAGGACCGCAAGCTGTATTTTGGCTCTCCATACCATCTTTTAAAGTCAAGCTTCCTAGTTCAGATTCCAACCTCTTATCAATAAAACTATCTATTGAATTTTTTCCCTTTGTGCTAGAAGAATCGGAATGAGCATCCATCGCTGCCTCAGAGTCACTTCCCTGCTCAGAATTTTCTTGTTTGCAGAGAGCACATTTTGCAAGGAAAGTGTACAATGCAAGCTCAAACCTTTTGATGGAAAAAGAAAACATGGTCTTATCCAAATGAATCTAAATTGTGCACAATAAAACTGAGCTATGGTAAAAGAAAACATGGTCTTGTTCCCATCTCCTTACCTTTTCTCTTCACTAGGTACCCAGAGTTCATCCGATGTCAGCAATGCATGCAGGGTATGAGAAGAAAGTTTTGGACGCACCTATCCATTTGGTAAAGATATTGTAAAGCGTAGACAGCACATATGCATAAATTAAATAAACGAGTAATACAAAATTCAAGGAAGAAAATGATGTTCATAAAACCTAAAAGTAAAGGAAAATTGGTATTAAGATTTTCACTAACTCTTGTAACAATCATGCTTGTTTACTTCTCTTCTGTTCTAAAATTTGCTTATATTATTGTTTCATCTGGCTCAAGTACGTACTAGTGGTCCATCTTTTACCTCTTTCAACTCCACGGCACCACTTTGACAAAGGTATCCCCAGCAAGCGTTTCTCACACGTTCTCCATGAATGCCGTAGTCTTGGCTCTCTGCAAACACCTGGAAACAGAAGTAGGTGATCTCAATAATGAAGTAAATTGGTACCATGCAGGAACAATAAAAAGAGGCTGAACAGGCATTTCCAACCTGGTAGGATAAGAAGTTTGAGGTCCACAACTCAGATATAATGAAATCCGTGCATATTGCACATAAATCCTGCATGGAAGAAGAACCCGATGTAAACCAAAATGCACATAAAAAAAGTAATGCCACAAAAAAGGGAAAAAGATATTCATCGAAGAGCACAAGAATTTAGAGTACGACAAGAATGAACATCGACCATCATAACTGCCCATGAGGAAAACGTTAACCTGAAGGTCAAGAAAAGAAGCGGCAGCTAGAACACGAAATGCGTTGTTGTCGTTAAGCTTAGGGTGGTGCCCATACAGATACGCCAAAGCCATAGCGATTGCCTCTCCATTCACATTGTTATCATCTATATGCAGGGTCACAATTGGAGCATTGGCTTCTTTCCAAGGACCGTGAAGCATGTTCCTGCCACGCACATTAGACGAAAAAAGATAATTCAGATCATCGTATTCGAAAAATGATACCGAACAAAATTAAGAAAAATTGAGCTTCCAATGCAAAAAGCAAAGCATAACCACTATGGTGAATGGACAGAATCCATTGCAGCAAACTAAATTCTCATCAAAATCAATGCCAAGTTTTCATAAAAAGGATGAAATTTAGCAAATTAAACCTACTAACTTCGCAATTACAATGAATTGTGCGATCACTATTTCAGATTCCAACGAACACGAAAATTCAAATCAAAACACAACCTCTGCGATCAACGAACAAAACTCCAATAATCTTAATTTCGTCAGACTCCCAAATTCAGCAAAAACCGGACCTAACCCTATCGAGAATTACACAGAAGCATTTTTGGCAATGGAGAAAATGAAATTGAGACCTGAAGTAGGGGCTGCGAGAGAGAATGAGGCGGTGGAGGTGGTAGGTGGAGCCCATGGCGTGAACGACGACGTCGGAGAAGGCGCCGGAGTTGAAGCCTTCGATTTGGATGTGGTCGCAGAGGGAGGTGAGGTTACAATCCAGGGCTCGAAGCTCGCCGCTGCTCCGGTCGTTGTCCGAGTGCTGCGAGGGCGGAATCGTCATTTTCATCTGCGCCGGTCCGTACGACCTATTCCCCTTCGGATATTGCCCTTCCATTTATATATGCATTTATAATATATGTATATATATATATTTATATGAAATTTTCCGTTTTCGTTTTTTTCTTTTACGAGATCCTCGGAGCTGAGAAAATGATTGAAATGCCAGACATTGACATTAAATGCAGCGAAAAGAGGCAGAAGAACTTGCTTTTCTTGTCTGAAAGTGAAACGATGGCCAAAGAGAAACGTCTCAAGAACAAGAACCAAGTATCAAAACGCTGCGTTTAAGTGCCGGTGTAAATCGTAAATATACAAACTATTGGGCCCTTTTGAAAAATTAGAATAAGACATGTCGTTTCAATAATGTTCTTTTTTTTTTTTTTCCCCTCTTTCTTCTCCTTTTACTTTACCTTACCTCTCTGTGTTTTGCTTGTAAGTCCACTTCTCTGTGTGAAAGATCATATAAAATGTACGGGAATTTACGCGTTTATTATTATTATTTTTTTTTTGTATTTATAATCCGATTACTTTTGTGAAAAAACTTGAAATTTTGATGAAAGTAATGATTTTTTATTTTGTTTCTGGTGCATTTGTTATTGTTTCTGCGATTTTCAATTGCAAAGATTTAAACTTTTATCATAGAAATCGAACAAGTTTGAGCCTTAGTTATTGTTTTAGCTGGGTTCTTTGTTATCAAACTTTCTTTTTCCTATATTAATGTTGAATGTTAGCTTAAAAAGTTTCAAAATTTCCACTCTTATAATTCAAGTATACATACATACATACATACATGTAAATATATAAATATATATATATATATATAAAGCATTGAATGCCATTCAAAACGACGTATTATATAGTTTTATGAACTCATGGAAAGCTGATTGAATTAGCTTTGTAGATATTCGGTTTTAGAGAAGTCTTGTGCTTGAATATTTGAAGAAAGCTTCTTTTATAGCCCTCTATGTGTTTGTTTAAAGGTCTAACTCGGATTTTTACTTTTTTTTTTTTTTTTGCCTTTCAGAACTATTTATTTTTGTTCTCTGGGGACAAGCATTTGTGAAGTAAACTTTCACTTATGATGGTATAGCTTGGACGTGCATACATGAAGATGTTCTTAAGAAATCGTGGTAAATTAATTTGAACTGATAATGTTCTTGTCTATTGCCATTTTTTCACTTACAAAAAGATTCTATGACCATTTGCATAATTTTATTTTTACTGCAGGAATTATACATCGTTTTGATTTCAAGTACCGTAAAATCTATGATTTTTCTAGACCATTCTCGTCGAATGGATCGTTTTCAGAATCTGAAGGGAAAGTTGTTCCCTTTGTGGATGGGGATGTGCCCGAAAATTCGGTGAAAGCTGAAGGGACAAGACAAGGAGTTGATGAGATATGCCAGATATTGGAGAGTGGTCCCTGGGGACCTTCTCTTGAGAATTCTCTGTTGGTGAATTGTGGGAAACCTCAACCTGAATCCATCATTCGAGTCTTGAGGAGACTTAAGGATGTAAATCTAGCCGTGAACTATTTTCGTTGGTCGGAGAGACAAATTGACGAAGCACATTGTCCGGAAGCATACAATTCGCTTCTGATGGTCATGGCTAGGAGTAGAAATTTCAATTGGTTGGAGCAGATTTTGGAAGAGATGAGTGTAGCGGGAATTGGCCCGTTGAATTATGCTAGTCTTGAGTTAGTTTTAAGCTGTGTCAAGTCACAGAAACTGAGAGAAGCTTTTGATCTAATACAGACCATGAGGAGGTTCAAATTCCGCCCGGCATTTTCGGCTTACACGACTTTGATTGGCGCTCTATCCGCAGCTCATAAAGCTGATCTCATGCTCACTCTCTTTCATGAGATGCAAAAGCTAGGTTATGAAGTAAGTGTGCACCTATTTACAACTGTAATTCGTGTCTTTGCCAGAGAAGGAAGGGTCGATGCCGCCCTGTCCTTGTTGGATGAAATGAAGAGCAACTCGCTTGATGCGGATATTGTTCTTTATAATGTCTGTATAGATTGTTTTGGTAAGGTTGGTAAGGTGGATATGGCCTGGAAATTTTTTCATGAGATGCAGGCACACGGGTTAAGGCCTGATGACGTTACGTATACCAGCATGATAGGAGTTCTTTGCAAAGCTGGCAAATTTAATGAAGCCGTTGATTTATTTGAACAGATGGACCTTAACAGGATAGTACCGTGTGCGTATGCATACAACACCATGATCATGGGCTATAGTTCAGCCGGAAAATTTGATGAAGCTTACAGCTTACTAAAGAGGCAAAAAAGAAAGGGCTGCATTCCAAGTGTGATCGCATATAATTGCATTCTCACCGGTCTAGGGAGAAAGGGAAGAGTAGATGAAGCATTAAGGATTTTTTAGGAGATGAAGAAAGATGCAGTGCCCAATCTTCCAACTTATAACATTCTAATAGACATGCTTTGCAGAGAGGGAAAGCTCGAGGATGCTTTGTGGATTCGGGATGCCATGAAAGAAGCCGGTCTGTATCCTAATGTTATGACTACAAACATAATGATCGATCGACTTTGTAAAGCTCAGAAGATTGATGCAGCTTGTTCAATATTCGACGGGATAGATCACAAAGTTTGCACCCCGGATGAGATTACATTTTGTTCTCTTATTGATGGCCTCGGCAAACAAGGAAGAGTGGATGATGCCTACAGGCTTTACGAAAAGATGTTGGACACTGATCGGGTTCCAACTGTTGTTTTGTATACATCCCTCATTAGGAACTTTTTCAAGTGGGGCAGGAAAGAGGATGGTCACAAAATATACAAGGAAATGGTGCGCCGGGGTTGTCCCGCTGATTTGATGCTCCTTAATACCTATATGGATTGTGTTTTCAAAGCCGGTGAAATCGAGAAGGGTAAAGCTTTGTTTAAGGAAATTAAGGCTCAAGGATTCAACCCCGACGTGAGGAGCTTTTCGATCCTAATCCATGGCCTTGTAAAAGCTGGCTTTGCACATGAGACCTATGAGTTGTTTTATGCAATGAAGGAGCAAGGATGTGTTTTGGATACCCGCGCTTACAACACTGTTATCGATGGATTCTGCAAATCGGGCAAGGTGAACAGAGCGTACCAGCTTCTTGAGGAAATGAAGATAAAGGGTCACCAACCAACTGTCGTTACCTACGGTTTTGTCATTGATGGGCTTGCCAAGATTGATAGGCTTGATGAAGCTTACATGCTTTTTGAAGAAGCAAAGTCAAAGGGTATAGAGTTGAATTTAGTCATCTACAGTAGTCTGATTGATGGGTTTGGGAAGGTGGGTAGAGTTGATGAAGCCTACTTAATAATGGAAGAGTTGATGCAGAAAGGTTTGACCCCCAACGTATACACATGGAATTGCTTGCTCGACGCCCTCGTGAAAGCTGATGAGATCGACGAGGCCCTCGTGTGCTTTCAGTCGATGAAGGACTTGAATTGTGCTCCAAACCATGTAACTTATAGCATCCTGATAAATGGATTTTGTAGAGTTAGGAAATTCAACAAGGCTTTCGTGTACTGGCAAGAGATGCAGAAACTTGGGTTGAAACCGAATGCAATCACCTACACCACCATGATATCGGGACTAGCAAAGGCCGGGAACATAGTGGAGGCGAATAGGCTTTTCGAGAGGTTCAAGGCGAGTGGTGGAACTCCCGATTCGGCTAGCTACAATGCCATGATAGAAGGGTTGAGCATCACGAATAGGGCGATAGACGCGTATGCGCTTTTCGAGGAAACTCGATTGAAAGGGTTCAGGATTCATAGCAAGACTTGTGTTGTGCTCTTGGATGCATTGCACAAGGATGAATGCCTTGAGCAGGCAGCAATTGTGGGTGCTGTCTTGAAGGAAACGACGAAGTCTCAACATGCTTCAAGGTCATGGTAATGTTGTCGTTTTCTAGCATAGATTTGGAGGAACTGTTGTAGCTTAAATATTGTTTCTATACAAGGGTTGGAGAAGCAATTATAATCCTGGAGAGATTTTATTTAATCATATTGAGGCCAAATCATTGTACTACTTGGAGAAGCAAGTTTTTTTTCGTGTTCTTTTATTTTTTACGTATTTGCATCTAAAAGATGCCAAGCATTTTCTAAATGCCTGAAAAAAAAAAAGGGAAAAAAAAGGAAACAAGTTAATTTCAATATTTCAGAGTAGGAATCTGTTTGAACAGAGAAGGGAGAATCAGACTGAAGACACCAGCAAAGATTTTCTTTTTTATTATTATTATTTTTAGATCTACTCTCTGTATAAGAGATTTTTGTAGGTGTTATATTCAAATAAATATTAAATACATGCAATTAGTTTTTATCTTAGAATAAATCTCATTATTTGTTATTAATTAATGTTTGCTTTTCAAAATCTTTTTTTTTTCTGGAAAATCAATATTGGATTATTTATCCAGAAAAAGTGTGCATGTCGTGAAACGACATGTCGATTCTATTAGAGTGCTGGTGGCGAGCAAATAATGTCGTTTTCTAGAATATGACATGTCGTTAGGCTTGACTCTTATTATTTTAATTTTTTTTTTCCCAACGAGATTTAAATTTGCCATGAAGTTCACATCTGATGTCGTTTCCTTTACAATAATTGCTGGGTGAAAAATCAACTCTAAGGCCTCGTTCATTTTACCGATTTGAGTTTAGAATTCTAATTTTGTTACAGTAAAAAGCTCTCAGAAATAATCACATCTAACTTTTTTTGCTATAGTAAAAAATTATCACATAAAGTCACATTTCAATTCAAATTAACAACTCGAATCAGCAAACTAAACGGGCTCTAATAAAAAGCAGTTAAGGCGTTTGATAAATTAGATTTTAAAAGTGTTGTTGCTTTAGTTAGAGTTGTGTTTAAATTATTGATAAATGATAATTTTAAATTGTTGTGGAGACAAATCGTGTTATATTTATATTATAAAAAGTTAATAAAATGATTTTTTTCTAAATTTTGCTACATAATTGCACGGAAATGTTTTATATTATAGGCCAATAGTATTTTAAGGATTTTCATGTGATTTTTCTTCTTAAAACCTAATATAATATTGTCACGTCCCGAAGCCAGAGTTAGTGACGTGAAAACTCGTTTAGAAATTAAACGTAATTAAACCTTTGAAAATATAATAATCAAAATTAAAAGTAAAACATTAAGAAAATTCTCAAACGAGCCTGACATTTAACTGAAATTAAATGACAAGAAAGTTACGGGGTCTTCCGCACTTTCTGATTATAAGAGGTTTAAAACTTGAGCCTCTGGCATCATTCAGGGCTTCACCAACATGATATACAGTATTATACATACATGAACATGTAAATAACATTTACAGACATCAACCACAGTCTATAAATCTAAGGATTCAGAGTTTACAGAATTTACAATTCTTACATTTGTACACCAGGATAAGGAACACTATCTGAGCTACTCAGCGCTGCTTCTAGCGTTGCTTGGGAGGGGCTTATTATTTATAAAACAAATAAAACATGAGCGAAAGGCCTAGTAAGATGTATTTTTTCAAATAACTTTTATAAACAAGTAAATAAATTAATGAACAAGTGAAAAAATATATAAATAAATAAATATAGATATTCAATTCTAACACAACAACTGGAATCTCACATCCTTTTCTAAAAGGAAATATAAACTGGAAATTTTGTATTACAGGCATCAGTAAGTAATTTATCCTATGATATATTACTTACACAACCACAAGCATGAGCCTTATCACCACCGTAGTGGGCCAGTCCGGGTTTCGGGTTCTGCCCCCAAGGATACACTCTCCATATCCTATCTAGGCCATCAGCCGGTTTACCGATTCGCAAGATCTATTGTCTTAAGAAATCATTCATTAAACTTTCTGAAATAGTTCATTATGAATCTAATAGCTAAAATCAAGCTATTGTCTTTAAAATGCTCTTCTTTCACAAACATGTCATTTCTTTAAAACATTTGTAAGGCCAAAACTCTTTTGAAAATAGGCTATCAAAGAAAGGGATAAGGAATCCTACCTCTTAAGCATCAAACCTGTGGTTAGTGTTGCGCTTTCCTAGCCTTCGTTTCCTCGAAGCCTTCGGTTTGATTCCTCAACTATCATTGATACAAAATAGCGCTTTAGGATTCAATTTTCATTCCTAAAGCAATTCAATATCAATTATATACCTTGATTTCCTATTAGTGTGCCTTAATCCAATCACAAGTTTCATAAATCATTCCATGTTTCAAATCATCATTCCAAGGGTTTTAATTTCAAAACATGGATTAAAGATGCTAATCCATCTATGTTAGGTCCCCAAATGAAGCTAATTTGGGTTCTCCTCAAAAACTGAGGTCAAAACGGGATTTTTAAACAAAACAGGGTCAAACCCCGTGTACACTGGCCGACCGGTGATAGAGGGGTTACTCTCCACCGGTCGGCCAGTGGAGAAGGAACCGGTCGACCTGTGGGAGCAATGCAAGATGGCCAACATGGCCGATCCGAAGAAAATCAGCACAAAATCTACAAATCCGAGTTCAAATCTGAAATATTTCAAGGGGAAACAACCAAATCCATGTTCTAGTTACTGAATCAAGTCCATAGAACCAAAAATCTCCAATTTCTACCATAATTTTACTCAAAATCCATTTTGAACAAAAATAGGTTTTTTCTAATAGACAAATCCGAGATTCAAGAGAAGTTTTTCAGAAATCTTACCTCAAATCTTTTTCTTGACGTTAAAAACTTATTGAAATCCTTCTTTGGTTCGAAATCCGGTTGATTTGGCAAAGATTTGAACAGGAGAGAGAAAGTGAACGAGAGAGAGAGTAAACGACAATGAAGGAGAGAAAGAGAGTGCACGGGAAGGAAAAAAAAGAAGTAAAAAGAAAAGAAAAAGAAAAAGAAAAAGGAGAGACAGTCTAGAAAATGTATCCATACACTTATGGAGTGAAAATATAAATACTGAAAACATTTAAATCCCTCAGAAATATTTAATAAACAATAATTAATTAATTAAATCAGATTAAACACACTAATAAATCTTAATTACTTTAATTAATCTCGTTTAATTCCTTAGGGTGTTACAAATATTTATGCAAATGAACATAAATTGTGGAAAAATGTTGCAAAGCCCATTTCTTCAAAATCCATTTACACAACACACACATATATATACACACACACATAAACGTATATATTTCTTTCGTTGATGATATCAAAGAAAAGATAGTTTCTAGAAAAAGTAAGGAGGACAAATTTAGTGATATAATTTTATTATTATGACATTTTAGGAACTGAAACTGCAGCTAAAGCAAAGGTGCAAAGGTGACGGCAGAATTGAAAACGTCAATATAGAACAACGACAACACATAAAAACGACAAGACGAGAAAATAAAACAAAAGGAATAAAACGACGATAAATAAAAATCCACAACAGAAGATTATAAACGACAATATTTTACCTGTGGCTTTCTCAAAACACAATATGTCGTTTTTAAGAACATATGCAAACTCAAACTGACAGCAGGATTGAAAACGACAAATAAAAAATGGCAACACATGAAAAACGACAAGACCAGAAAACAACAATAAAAGAAAACAAAAGGAATAAAACGACGATAAATGAAAATCAACGACAGAATTTACGATTTACAGAGGCCCTTTAGTTTATAAATTTAAACAAAAATTTAAATTTAAATTTTATAAAAGAAAATAGTAAAAAAAATTAAACAGTAATTTAAATTTATAAAAAAACGCATTGTTATTTACTAAAACAAATAATGGAATCAAAATTGAATATCATCATTACTAAAACAAACAAAAAAATAATGCATCGTTATTCTAAAAAATAGATATTTGTGAGCCCGTTTGGTTGGAGAATTCGTTCTCTGATTTGAATCATAGTTTATGATTTATTACAGTATTTTTTCTCATAAAAAATACACGTAAATTAAAAATAATTCTAATCTATATGAATCAAACGGGCTCTTATTCTTCTTAAAAAAAAAAAAAAAAAAAAAGGTATTTGAACTTGGTAGGATTATGATCAAATCCGTTCATCTATAGCTGGGGAGTGTGGATCGTAACGCAGAGCCCATTAACAAACCAGGATTGCCGCGATCATCGCCACGTGTCCAAATGGCCATTGACGCCTCAGAAAATGTAGACGTTACAAAAGCATAAAAGCCCCAACGGCACTTTCCTTCTTTACACCGCCTTTTCCAAATTTAAATATTCTCATATCTTATCAGACTCTCCACCATTTCCTTATCAGAACTTCGAAACCCTAACTTTCTCAATCCAAATCTCATCTGTTCTTTTATCTCTCTGTTTCAATGGCGATGGCTTTGAGACCCATTGACAACGCGCTCCCGACGACGGCGCTGGAGCGGCCCAAAAAGCAAGCGAAAGTCGCAGTTCAAGTTCGGAAACAGCCGGAGTTTTGCACGATCGACGAGAACAAAGCTCCGGAGTTTTGCACGATCGACGAGAACAAAGCTCCGAAAATGGCGGAAAACGCCGATGTGACAGTTGATTACATCGCTTCCGAGAGCCTCCAGCCGATACAAGATCCTGATTCCAAGATTCAAGTTTGTTTCTCTTTTTTTTTTTCTTTTTTTTTAGATTGTTTTTGTGTTTCCGAGAAATTTGATTCGATCTTACCCTAATTTTTTTTTTTCAAATTTCAGAGCTTGATCGAAGGATTTGATTCGAAGGATTGGACTAAAGTGTGCGAGTCACTGAATGATGCGAGGCGTTTCGCGCTCTATCACTCTGATCTTCTGGTTCCTTTGCTGTGAGTTTTCTCTAATGGATGAACAATTAATTGGATTTAAGGCCATTTTGCTAGGGTTTTTGTAATTGTAATATTGGATTGTGTATGGATATGTTTCAGAGAGAAAGTGATGTTGGTACTGGTTAAGGCAATGAAAAACCCTAGAAGTGCTCTTTGCAAGACCTCTATCATGGCTTCCTCCGATATCTTTAATGCATTCGGCGACAAGCTGCTCGAATCATCTACCTCCGAGCCCCTTGATCACTTGGTTTGTTCTTATATTCTAATCCGTTCTAGAAAGAAATTGTTTCATCTTTTAATGGGTATTCAGAGATTTATTGAAAATTGGATATAAATTAAACTAAATTGATTAGCTATGTTTTTGAAAAAATTGGTCAAAATTGTTTTTGCAGCTGGTGCAGTTACTGCTGAAAGCCTCGCAAGACAAACGGTTTGTCTGCGAAGAAGCGGACAGGGCATTAAGCGCAATGGTGGGGTCTTTTACTCCTTTGCCTCTTCTACAAAAGCTCCGAGCCTATGTTAAGCATGCTAATCCTAGAGTCAGAGCCAAGGCTGCTGTGTCCATATCTAATTGCGTCTCTAAGATGGTAAACACTACTCCGTAGCCTAGCGTCTCTCGAGGCTTTTTCAATAAAAACCAAAATGTTTTTGTCCTATCTTGTTTATTCACCATTTTCGACCACTTTCAGGGGCTAGAAGGAATGAAAGATTATGGGTTGGTTAGCTTGGTCCAAATGGCCGCGGGTTCGTTAAATGATAGACTGCCCGAGGCAAGAGACGCAGCAAGGAGTGTTCTGGTTTCAGTACACAACGCCTTTACAGAAAATGAAGAGCAGAAGCAGGAGGCATGGCAAGACTTTTGCCAGTCTAACTTGTCGCCTATCCATCTCCAGTCTGTGGTCAAATTTACAATGTCCTAGAAGGTAGTTTGTGGTAGTATAACACTGGTGTAACAGCTAAATAAGTAGCCCAAAACCCCCTCTTCAATAAATTTTAGACTTATTGGTGTCGTGTAAATGTTGTTTTTACGTGACAACTACTATGTTTGAGATGATATTGTCGTTTGTCGTAGTATAACACTGGTGTAACAGCTAAATAAGTAGCCCAAAACCCCCTCTTCAATAAATTTTAGACTACTTGGTGTCGTGTAAATGCTGTTTTTACGTGACAACTACTATGTTTGAGATGATATTGTTTGCTGTAGAATCTGTTTTGTTATTGATAAATAATAGAATATATATGGTATTGATTTGGTTAATGATTTGCTTCTTCAGTTCTCAAAACCCAGAAGATTTTTAGCTTCGTTCGTAGCAGACAGCACACCCAAATATCAGGCATATTTGGCTAGAATTTAGTACAAGGAATATTCGCTACTGTATTTTCATAATTGAACAATTGGAATTCCGGAAAAAACCAACTATTGAAAAAATCTAATAATAATAAGAAGACAGGGACATTCTGTCTAATTGTGAAGATCAGCAAATGAAGAAAGAACAGACATTCTCGGCCGTTGCATCCCTGTGCTGTATCCCCCCATGCAGCTTTGCCGCTCGGTTCCATCTTCATATTCCAGCCACTAGCAGGAAATAGCACATTGCTGACTGACTTGCTAGTCAAACCCTTCAATTGTAATAAAGGAGAGCAAAGGGGAAGTCAAAGAGCAAAGCGCCATCTCAATATCAACAATCAGCGCTGATCAATCTCTAAAACCAATGACATGTTGATTGGTCTGCAAACTCTTTAAAACAGAAAAATCAAGCTTTTTTTGCCTCCACATCCTACCGAGCACTTTGAGTTTCTTTAATCAAAGCGTGCAAAGCCATCTCGACATCAGCAAATGGTTGCCCGACATACAACTGAAGCTGACCCTTCTTAACAACAATTACCTTCCATTTCTTTGAATTTAGTGCTGCATGAAGTTCCTGCAAAAGGTATTTTGTTTTAGACAACTAATTCCGCAGACCAAACTTTGCTGCAGCCTAATAATTGTAGACTTTCATAGGTTCATTACCATATATGCCACCTTGTATAAACATGTTTACACAAACGTAAGAGAACATGTGTAATTTATCTAAAGTCGTAGAGAATAGATTAGAGCACTTACTTTAACTGATAGAGGAACAATATCAGCCCTGACATCACCCAAATCTTCAAAAAAAGATTCCAATAGAAAACAGAAGTTATTGGCATCACCACGGTCCTCAAAAGCAACAGTATAAGAAGAATCGTTCTGTTTATGAGTTCCGGTATCGAGCTTTAAGGTATAAAGTCCTCCAGTTCCCTTAGGATCAGATCCTCGGTGCATAAGAACAACCTAAGACAAGACATGCATTGTTGAGTTCAACATGTGAGAAGTTAGGCCAAAAATTGTATGGTCTAAAGTAGAGAAAAAACAGTAGCAGAAACACCATTTAATATCGGAAAACTAGTTATGCTATGAGAATTTAAAGCTTGATAAAAATGTCCTTTCACGTACTAGAACATAAGGTAGGTTCAGCCACCACATATCAGCCTCAACATTTGATTGCTTCTCGGGAACTTTGTTGGGTGCTAGTTTCTTTTCAGCTTCTTTGAGTCTTGAGCTTCTACTTCTACTCAAGACAGGATGCTCATTGGATTCTTCCACAGTTTCCCGGTTTTCTATCTCAAAATTTCGGTCATTTTCCACTCCCAACTCTCTTGACGTTGTCAAATTTGCTACTTCAACTGAGGGGTTTTCGGGTCTACTCTGCTGAACAACACCTAAAAATTTAAGGAATAACTCATAGTTGTGCTTTCTAGCGGGGAAAAAAAATCTACTGTTTGTAGCATAAATGAACCTTGCAATAATTAAGAAACTTCAAAAACGAAAATATGTGTGTGTTTGGATTTGAAAGTGGAAAACATAGTTATAAGGCCAGAAATTTGTTACCTTGATCTTACAGTTTGCTATCGATATAAGCATACATCTTAAACTACATTCAGACAAGAAAATACAAACTTGAATTCCATTTTAATCGATCTTAAGGTAAAGCTAATTTGCTACAAGAGACCCTTATAAGTGCCTAGACAAACTCTTCTAAAAGCAATCAAATGGCATACATAGAGACTCAAAAACACCGAGCATACAAAACCATAATCAAACAAACAATCTACAAGAAAGGCAACAAAAATTAGAAGCAGACATTGTATTTGAGCAAATAACTGATACAAAAGAAGACTAACAACAAATCATGACTCATCTTATAATTTAGTAACATTACCATTTCTCGATTTTCCTGTCTGACTCGCTTCCTTTCCATCATTTCCCCTTCTCATCCCTTTGTCCAAATTCTTCCCATCATCCCGTGACACTCTCAATTTTCGAACCACCAATCTTCTCCCACCCTCCAAGTCCCTCTCTTTCTGAATTTCTTCATTCAGTTCTTCTTCTGATACTTTTGAGCCACTCATTTTCCCCTTTGACACCTTATGCTTTTCGGAATCTCCGAACCCCTTTGGACCCTTACTCGGCTCGGTCAAAGGGCTTCTAAACTTAAGCTTCTTCTTAAACATAAGAGTCTCATTTTCCTTTCCCACATCCAAACCAGCCTTCTTCTTCGTCACCTCATCTTCAACCTTCCCATACTTGCTCAAATAATTCACATATGACCTTGGCAACTTCTCCCTAGTGGAATTCAACCCTTTTTGCAACTTCAATAATCGCTTTTCAATCTCTTTCTCAATCCCAATTTTAGTACCGGACTTCAAACTCTCACCCTTATTCTTCTCAACTTTTCGCGCTTTCCTCGCCATCGCTCTTATTTTTTCAATTTTCTCTTCCAATTCAACGTTCGAACGCAAAATTTTCTCATTTCCATTCAGCAAAACTTTCCCGTTATCCAAACTATCAAAATCCCCATCTTTTTCCTCGGAATTCGCAGTTCCCAGTACCCAAACAGAAAGAATGGTCTGAAACACGAAAACTCCAATCAAATACACGCCGTACCTCACGAAAGACCGCCCGGAAAATTCGTCAACGCCGGCATGAAGAACCTCGGACGACTGAAATTCCTCGATTTTGTCGTTTTCCAACGGAACGGCCGCGTAACTCTCGTCGTTTTGCTGGGGAGGAAGCTCTGGGAGTGGGTTTTCGGGAGGTGCTGGGTTGTAGGGTTTGGTTATGGTTTTGAGGATTTTGGGTCGCAGAGAGTTTCTTCGCTTTGTGAGTTTTGCGGATTTTGATGGAGTCGCAATACGAGCGAATCGGAGGAGTTGGTTTTTCGTGGAGTTGGTAATAGTTGGTCGGAGGAAGGAGAAGGAGACGGAGTTTGCAACCGCCATTGGTGGGTTGGTGTGTGAAGCTCAAGCCATTTTGCTGTTTCGAACTGTTCAAGTTTAGAAACCAAAATGGTGACAAGTTCAAAATAGTTCAAAAAATGGCAAAAAAAAAAAGAGGGTAATTGCGCGGTGCACCTTGAACTTATCAATTTTAGTAAGTTGTGCCTTGTTCATTTCAGAATTTTTAATTTTAAGTTTTTATAATAAATTTTTAAAAAATATCACATTTTAATTTTTTTTGTTACAATGAAAAGCTCTTATAAAATATCACATTTTAATTCGAATTAAAAATTTAAATTTACGAAGTGAAACGAGACCTTGGTCTCAAATTTTCAATTTTAGTTAATTTGACCTTGTTTATGAATATGTTGCAATTATGGTTGAATGGCTAAGCTAATGGGCCAATGGCTAACCTATGTTGCAATTATGATCCACTAATCCATTAGTAGATGAAAATTGTTCAAAATTTTTACATACGTGTACCCCCAAATTTTCGTTAGTTGGTAAGTTATACTTTGAACTTTTCAATTTTTAAAATTTAGATCTTAATTGTCGTTTATAAGTTGACGTCCATTATTAACTAAACTGCTTTTTTGAGGATTAGAATGTTTACATCGTATTAAATAGTCATGATAATGTTCATAGCCTTGTTGAAAAGGGTTAATCTAAAAAATAGCCTTTAATTTTAGGAACAGTCTCAATCTTTTTTTTTAAAAAAGGTAAAATCATTCTTATGTTAGTCTCTATAATGGTTAAAATAAACATATTCCCGTTTGCAAAAACAATCCATCTATTGACATTATATTAGAAAGTGCATGGAAAACCACATGTAAACTGCTCCTGCTTCGTCACTTAATGCAGTTTGGCAGCAATTTAGACATGATCAGCATTTGGAAGGAAAATTTCTGCATTCCAAACTTTTTGGCTAATCATATTACAACTGAAAAATGTAATAAGCAAAATATGATAATTCAGGTTGCCAAGTCAAGTGTAAGACCTGTATATTCGCATGATGTTTTTATGAGCATGAATGTTGAATGACTAAGAGGACGTTTAGTTGGAGGATTCAAATCATGTGATTCGAATTATTTTCGATTTACGTGAATTTTTTGTGAGAGAAAATACTGTAACAAATCATGAATCATAATTCAAATAAGAGAATGAATCCCTCTACCAAACATCTCCTAAGAAATATACAGAATTCTCCTTATTGTTGGTGTTGTGCTTTTGAAGTCTATAACATTCACAATTTGCTTATAGGAAATATGACAAATATTTAAACTGCCGCAATTTTTTTGCGAATCTAAACTTGCCAATTTGGTAGAGAAATATATATATATATATATATATATATATTTGGCTTTACAAAATAAAACATGTCGCATTTGTTCACCCCATGAGGACGAGGTCTATATTTTCTAAACTGCCAATGTCAGATATGAAGTATTACCTAGGCTGGGGTGTCTGTTTATCAAACAAAATGTGTTTCTAGATCTTTTTGACACATCGAGTCATTGACATATATATTTACCCTTAAAGCCAGTTATAAGAAAGAGAAAAGACACCGTGTGTTTAGAACCGTTTTTAAAAACGGTTTTCACGTATTTTAAGAAGTAAAAAATTAAAATAAAAATGAAACGACGTTTGTTTAGCAAATGTTTTAAAAACGAAAACAATAAAAATAATTTTTGTGAAGGAATTAAAAAACAGTTGAAAATTGTTTTCACTTTTCTATTTTCATGTTTTAGTATTTATCAATAATATTATAATATATTAATTAATAAACACGATTTTATTTTTTTATTATACTCAAAACAATTTTTTAAAAATCCAACCAAATACAATTTCAAAATTACTCTCAAAATAATTCTCAAAACAATCTCATTTTTACTCTTTATTAAAAATAAAATTATTTTTAAATTAATTCCAAACACACCCTTTATTTCTTCATATTAATATGAAAGACGCACCATATTGTGAAGAATATATTCGGGTGCGTTTGGAATTGGTTTCAAAACGTTTTTGTTTTCTGTACGAAAATGAAAATGAAAACGTTTTTATTTTCATTTTGGAATCATTTCTGAAAATACGTTTGGTAGTTTTATTCTGAAATTGTTTTCAGTTTTAAAAAAACTGAAATTGTGTTTGGTGGTTTAATTTTTGAAAACATGTAATAATATTTAAAATATTAAATATTAAATAAATAATAATATTAAATATATTAAATAAGTATATTAATATAACATTATATATGTTACTAGAAGAAAAACGACAGTCGAAGAAGAATGGTGAGGTGGCGGCCCGCGCAGACGGGGGGCGGCGGTGGCGGAGGTGGGTGGCGGT